ATTCCCTCCTATTTGTCAATTTCCCCCTTAAAATGTGGTGGCCAAATGTGGTCAGTTCAGCGCGCTGTACAGTGGAGTAATTACTTCCCTTGAGCTGGACATCGCACTTCTTCTACAGCAACCTAGATTTATGTTAGCATTTTTGGAGGCCAGATCACACAGTTGGCTCAAGTAAAACCTGATTCTACTACCCAGAACATAAGCTCTGCCTCCCAACACTGTGTCAACTGCAGATTTGACAGGCGCAATTTTTACATCTTCATCCAAGCTGTTGGTACAAATGCAGAACAAGAAAAGGCCAAAGGCTGAGCCTCGAGGAACATCTCTGATTGTTCCATGCGTATTGACACCCATCCACTGGCTTGATGACACTATTGTACCAGTTCCAAATCTATGCACCTATACTAGCAAAAGTAACTCAGCAAGATGTAGTCACTCGTGTTTTTGAAATTGGATATTTAATTTACCCAGAGGTAAAATGCCATTCTTTTATCAATGAAGACAGGTTTTGAACCCATAATTGGGAAAATGTGAACGCAGAAAATAATTTCATGTTTGAGTTACTACGTAATGCTTAAAGGAAAAAAAAAGATCTTCTCTTAATGTGAAATGATAATGTTTGCCTAATTGTTTATTTTTCCAAAATGTTTTGAAATTACTCCCTCGGTCTGGGGGAAGGAGTGTGGAGAATTTGCAGATTTCATGTGTGGTGGAGAAAAGAGATTATTGAAGAATTAGAATATAACACTTAGGAGCCTTTTCCATCTCTGGTTGGGGTCACAGAGACAAAGAGATGTCTTAAATGTTGGTGGGAGAAGGTGTGAGGTATATTCCTGGATAGTTTTTAAAATTCTTTCTTTCTTTCTTTTTTCTTTTCTTTTCTTTTCTTTTCTTTCTTTCTTTTTCTTTCTTTCTTATTTCCTTCCTTCCTTTTCTTTCTTTCTTTCTTTCTTTCTTTCTTTCTTTCTTTCTTTCTTTCTTTCTTTTCTTTTCTTTCTTTTTTTTTTTTTTTTTTTGAGAGAGAGAGAGAGAGACAGAGAGAGCAGGGGAGGGGCAGAGAGAGAGAGGAGTACAGAGGATCCAAAGCAGGCTTCACACTGACAGCAAGGAGCCTGATGTGGAGCTCAAACTCAAGGAACCATGAGATCATGATCTGAGCTGAAGTTGGACACTCAACCGACTGAGTCACCTGGGTGTCCCTTAAAATTCTTCTTAATGATTCTCATTAAAGAAGTAGTTCTTTCTTTCACTTAACATGCTTCCCTCTGAAGAAATCATTTTCTTTGTGCTGCAGCACAGATCAGTTTTTCCTGGTTTTCATGGTGGAGGTGAAGAATGGTTGTTGCCATACTTTGAGCCAAAGTGCTCAAAGATTCAGAGCTCGCCTTTTGGCATCTTCTTCCAAGGGCTCATTTAATATTTTCTCAAAGGCTTTCCTTCTTGTGTACGTCCCATGTTTGTGGCTTTCATCTTAACACTGGTCTTTTCTCTTTCTCTAGCCCATAATTGAACAAATACCTTAATATCTAAAGCTCTAATACCATAAGCATGTTCTGAGATCCCGGTAGATGGACAAAAAGTTAGCACTCTCAAAAACTGGCCAGGGAATAAAAGACTTCCTCATACTGAATATTTTAGGAATATCATTTTATAGTTTACTCACTCATTCAGTGTTTATTGAGCACTTATTATATGCAGGCACTGATCTAGGCAACAGAGACAATGGGGAGTAAAGTCAAATTTAGTCTCTTCTCACATTGCGCTTATGGCCTTAAGGAAGAAACATGTTAGTCAAATAATCAAAACAATTGTGAACTTGTAAAAAGTACTGCAAAGAAGAGGGAGAGGGTGCCCATCACTGGAGAGGTCAGGGAAGTCTTCCTCGCGTGATGCTTAATCTGAGATTTGAAGGTGGAATCAGGGGAACGGCACAGGTAGCAGAAAAAAACATATTCCCAAGGCCCTGTGCTGAAAGGGAGCATGGGCAGTATGAGGACAGGAACATGCCAATAAGGTGGAGTGAAGAACACAAAGCAAGAGTGAGAGTAGTGTGAGATGAACTGAGAGGTAGGAAGGGTCTCCTACAGGCTTTGGAGATGACACAAAGAGTGCTGTCAATGTCTTCTGAACCATGGAAGCCATCTAAGAAGCTTGTGGGGGTGGTGGCTGGAGGTGGGGCAGTGCAGTTGGGCGGGGAGAATTGTGGGCCGTGATCAGTTTTGGTTTTTGAAAAGATCACCATGCCAGGTGCCTGGGTGGCTCAGTTGGTTAAGCCTCTGACTCTTGATTTCAGCTCAGGTCATGATCTCACAGTTTGGAAGATCTCTAGGGCCACATTGTGCGTACCCTCCCCTAGTCTGCCTCCGTGCTCACAGCATAGGCTTGCTTGGAATTCTTTCTCTCCTCTCTCTCTACCCCTCCTTCCACTTGCGCACTCATGCGCTTGCTCTCTCTCTCTCTCAAAACAAACAAACAAACAAACAAACAAACAAACAAACAAACTTAAAAAAAATCACTGTGGGGCGCCTGGGTGGCGCAGTCGGTTAGGCGTCCGACTTCAGCCAGGTCACGATCTCGCGGTCCGTGAGTTCGAGCCCCGCGTCAGGCTCTGGGCTGGTGGCTCGGAGCCTGGAGCCTGCTTCAGATTCTGTGTCTCCCTCTCTCTCTGCCCCTCCCCCGTTCATGCTCTGTCTCTCTCTGTCCCAAAAATAAATAAAAAAAACGTTGAAAAAAAAAAAAAATCACTGTGACTGTATATGGGCAAAAGGAGAAAGGGAAGGCAAAGTAAGTGACAGACCAGTTAGGAGACCACTTTCTAGTCCAGGAAAGGAGATGGAGGTGGTTGGGTGTAGGTTGGCAGGAGGAGAAATAGAAGGATAGAAACAGATCAAAGATGCGTAGGTTGACTCTGCAGTACTTGGGGACTGCATAGGGGGGTGATAGAAGAATAGTGCCGCGGGTAACCCAAGGAAGGTTCATACATTTTATATTCTTCTTTGTCAATTGAAAGATTGTTATTTTAAATTTTAGACTGTGCAGCTCTACTCATAATTTTTGATAGTACAGCGCAACAGAAAATAATTCTAAAAAGAGCCAGAAATCTTCCGGTGCCCCAGATCTATTATTGGCAAAGTAGGTGACTGTGAGCAAGACAAAAACTTGGGAGTCTCTCTGAGGATCCCAACAATGGAGGAAAAAAATATTTTTAATTGTTGACTTCCTCAAGACCTCATTAAGACCCAGGGAAGTATGTTTGTTAAGGTTCACTTTTTAAAGAAGTAACCCAGTTATTTTATTTTATTATCATTTGAGCTCAATTCGCTACGTCTCTAGACCCTATAAAAAGAACTTAAGCATACCCCTGCACGCTACTCCAACACAAATCGCCATTTCCTTTCATCTTGCTTTAACCAACCACAATATTTTCCCACGTCAGAAAAACCTTCCAGTGTAAAAGAGGAGCCTTTGGACCGCGTGTGTGTATAGACGACTGTTCATGCCTTTGGGATCCCGCGATAACACAGTCGGCTCACAGTCTAAGCCAGGTGCCCAGTTTCCATCTGGACTCCTGACAAACTGTGTGGTCAGGATTTAGAAATCAGAAATCTGGGAAAGGTGCAACGTGATGGACACAACCACCCCAAATACCATATATGTTATCACCATCATTTAACACGTAGTGCAGGAAATCCTGTTCTTTGCAGAAGAACTTCAAAGAACCACTTCTGGTTCTCCTGGGTAACATTTATTTTTTTCTTTGCTAACCCCAAAGCGCAGACAGATATATATTTTCCCTCCAGTAAATTGCTAGTGACACTCCATTTCTTTTCTGCCATCCTCAACCCATTGTCCAGCTGACCTCTCGAATTTCACTACCCTTCTAAGCTGAAGAGCTGTGCCTAGCTGTTTACAGAGACCCACTTACTTACTTGGCTTTACCCTGCACTTTCCCTTTCTTTTCTAGACTCTGAATTTCTCACCTTTTGGCTCTACCACATTGGTAAGACTTCTGCTCCAGTGTGAATCCTCTTTTGTTTGTCCCAGTGACTTTCTTTTTTTTTAAGAAGAACTGTCTTTTGAGACAGCTTTACCTTTCGTGTGTTACCTTACTTTTGAATTTTAAACAAGGAAACCTTCATTCAAGTCATCAGAAATAAGCACAGGCTGTTAGTTCCCTTAAGTGACTCAGATGTCACATTTTGCCTTCACTGGTTTATTCATGCAACGTATGTTTACCTGAGTGCCTACAATGTTCCAAGTACCGTGAGAGAGAGTTATGAACACAAATGTTCTTCATTCTAGAGGACAAGACAGTGAAAAAGTAAATGAACAAGCAAGCATTGTTCTATATTCCGTTATTCCATAAAAATTGTTAGAGATTGATTTTATGGAGATACAGCCGAAAGTTGCAACTTTGGCTCTTGGCATTGGATTCCAGACACCCTGTCATCTCTGCCAGTCATCTATCCTCACTCTCCAGGTTGTTGAGCTTGGGTCATGAGTACCTAGATTATGATTGGGAAAGGTAGTAGTTTCCTGGGAGGGAAAAAAAGTAGGTGGTTGGCCACTCTCATGCGACTGAAAAAGAAACAATAACCTAGTGTGCATGTCATTCAAAGCAGGATGCTGAACAGCTCTTCACTAAATCATAGTATCGTGCACTCACCATGGAAATTATTTTCAAACACAGTATATATCACACCAGGTCAGAGAAGACATGCATCAAATGTCCCTGATAGACACCTTACATCAGGAAGGCGGCAGAGTGATTAGTAAATTTCAGGGTGTTTTCTTATGTGTGTTACTCTTAGGGTAAATAGTTGTTTCTCATCTGCTCATAGCTGTAAGTTATAACAAGATGGGTGGACCCATGGCTTGCCAGAAGCCATAACTCTTTATTTAGTTGACATGACCAGATGCCCAATTTTGTCCTCTGAGAGCTTGAGAGTAGCATAAAACATTGACTTCTTCTGACCTTCCCCTCTGTCTTCTCTGGGCAGAATATCTCGATGCATAACACAGTTGGTGGGGCCTTGGCGGGGCCCGGAGCTCACCAGCTTGGCAGCACCCGGATGCCCAACCATGACACCAGCGTTGTGATTCAGCAAGCCATGCCGTCGCCCCAGTCCAGCTCTGTCATCACACAGGCACCTTCCACCAACCGCCAGATCGGGTAAGGAGACTTCCTCGGTTGTCTCTGGGTCCTGGCTGGAGCTCAGAGAATGTTCTAGACTTTCTCCTTGTTTCTGGTGCTCGGATCGGGTGAGACAGAAGTTGGTGTTCCTGGCTGGTGTGGTACCACCTGGCCCTTAGAGTGATGCTTTTAATGGGAGAAAGGTGGGGAGTCCCCATTTGGTGGACACTTTTGATCCTGGACTTTGCGGGGCAAAGCAAGGCATTCGGTGTCATCGTTTCTTCAGACAAGAGTTGTGAACTTCAAGATGACGGGAGAAAACCCCTTGGGTGTGACGGGGAGCAGAGCATACTTTCAGGACAAATGCTTGAGGATGGTAGAGGGAGGTTTCACCAGCCCACCTTCCTCCCCAACAGAGTGTGTCCCTTTTTTCCTAGGATCTGCTGAGCCCAGCCCCTGTGTCTTCCATGTATTTCCAGTCTTGCGTCCCTCTGATTATTCTTCTTTGCTTCCTTTCCTTGTTAATACCTCTTTATTAGTTCTCCCCTTCCTCTGTGTTGGCCCAGGCTCATTCCTGGAGTAGAAAAAGCAAAAACAGCAAACCCTTTCCCCCTGGCTTATGTAAAAAAGACAGTACTGCGGTATTGAGAGAACTTGGTAGAAAGGTCGGTTTCGTCAGAATCCCAGACACTCTGTTTATGGGTTGGAAAGAGTTTTCACTTCTGAGTTTCATATGACAGTGCTATCCCCTGCCTACTTGGAGTGTGGTCTGAGGACCAGCAGCCTGGGCATTACCCGCGAGCTTCTCAGAAATAACAGACTCTCTGGCCTGCTTCCTTATCTTCAGGATGATGGTTATGTGTCTTCTTTCCACCCTCACAGGAGTAGAGTGAAGAGGAAATCGAATATTTAAGAGTAGTCAAGTTCCTAGGAAGAAAAAGTAGTAACTTAAGCCAAAGAGCTCTGATAAATTTATATTGTTGAAAGCTGAGAACTGCTTGCTGTATGTTCCCACAATCCTCTGTTTAAAATAGGATAGGGAGCTTGCTGTATTTGGTATGTGCATCAGAATTCAGTGTGAATATTCAGCTGAATATTGGATACGGTGATTTAAAACAACAACAACAACAACAACCCAAAGCAGACCTGCAATGTGCCAATGTGTCTTGCCCCCTTTGTTTTTTAAAAGATTTTATTTTTTAAATTGTTTTTTTAATATGAAATTTATTGTCAAGTTGGTTTCCATACAACACCCAGTGCTCATCCCGACAGGTGCCCTCCTCAATGCCCATCACCCACTTTCCCCTCCCTCCCAACCCCCCATCAACCCTTAGTTTATTCTCAGTTTTTACCAGTCTCTCAAAGACTTTATTTTTAAGTAGTCTGTACACCCAGTGTGGGCTCCAACTTAAAACCCCCAGATCCAGAGTCACATGCTCCACGGACTGAGCCAGCCAGGTGCTTTCCCCTTTGTTTTTCATGTTTGTAGGAATTTCAGATCAAGAGTGAGCATGGGGAACAACATCAGCTTATTCCTCCTTAGAATGCTTTAGAAGGGGTGCCTTGTCTCCCACATTTCTCAACCTATCAGATGGGTTGTGATTTGTGAAGACCCATCTTAACAAATGGGAGCTGTGGGCAGTGATGGTTTCATGAGCTTGCCATGGGTACATTTGGTCTCCCATTTAAAAAAAAGAATATTAATCTGGCCATTTGAATGCTTGACTTTGTTGGAAGAAGCCAATGCTAAATTAGCTAGTAGCCCTGTTAAATATTTCTTTTCTTTTCAAATGACCGTGGGAGCAAATACTGCCACCATCTAAAGCAAGAACCTATAATATACTACGAGGGTGGAGTGGGTTCTTTAAAGACAGCATCTAAATCTCAAGGCCCTCCTTCACTCTAGTGGTTTGGCTTTGGCAGACAATTCACAGTTAGGCCAGCTAATCATAATTATTTTATTTTTCTTTCAAGGGGAAAAAACATAAAATGTGTTAGAGTTTACTAGCAGTTTTATAACATTCCTTCCCCCCTGGAGTTCTGCCTCCCCCCTCGCCCCCACCCCAGCTACCCTCTTGGAGGCCCTTAGCATTCGGCCATTGTTAGTACAATGCTGGTTTTTGTGAAACGATCTTTTAAGGGTTAGCACTGAATTCTAAGATGCGTGTTGACTCTGTCAATAATTTACCCGGCTGGCCCAGGGCTGTACAGTTGGGTAACATTTCTAGGCTGTGTCACTGTGCCTGGGTGGGTGGGAGTGTTCCTCTGGTACATGCGACCTCCCAGCCCACTCCGTCTTCTCATGCATGTCTCTCCTGGTGCGTTCTAGGAGATAATTGTCACTTTTAGGACTCTGTCTCATTGCCAGGCTTGAGGGAGGCTGTTCCTTTTCTTCAGATCCTTCCCTGTCGTGCTTACCATGTTGATTCCAACCCACACATCCTGTCATCTCCATTTTCTCCATGTGACCCATCTAAAACCTTGCCCGGATGGCGCTCAGCAAGGAACAACCCAACCCATCTCACCAGTGGATTCAGAATGAAACTCTAGGTGGTAACATTTGGGGATGGTTGACTCTTTTTATTTCTCGCAGCAAAGAGGAAATGAGTACTTATTTTAAAACATGAGTTCCCTCTGGAGACTGTGTCTTTAAATGAGCATTTGAAATTGCAGATAGTTTTTTTTTTTTCTTGAGACTGCACAGAACCATATTGTAGTAATATTCTGATTTTTATCACAACCTCAAATATTTAAGTGTCAAAATCTGGCCAAGCCACCTGCAAATGTTTGCCATGGCTACTGGCCAACAAAAACAGCAAACAGCAATGAAAGTCTTCATTCAGGCTCAGCGCTTAAGCTGCATCCAGGCAGGGAGGCTGGGACCCACCTGTGCCCACGCACAGTGCTTTTCTGCTGCGGCCAGTGGGTGTGTTCACGACTGGAACTTTGTGGGAGAGGGAGGGGGCCGCCTGTCTCCTGCCCCCTTTTTTTCCTTCCCTTCTCCCGGTGCTTGGCTTCTGCGGCCAACTTTACTTTTGCTTTCTTTTCTGCACCTTCTTTCATGCTGTATTTAAGCATAAAGGCTCGAATATATTAGGGGTGATATTGACAATGAAGGAGTTGGAAATGGGAACAGCACGGTAGTCCAGGGAAGATTTTGAGGGGCAAAGTGTATGCGTCTTTGTAAGCATCGGATGTTCATACTTTTTGAGCAGGCACTGAGCCAGTCTAGACCAAAGTGGGTGGAAATGCAAAAATCCAAAGAAATAAATTTATAAGTAGGTAGATAAGCGACACAGGCAACTTCTGTGCCATCCCATATCACCCCCCCCCCCACCATGCCCTATGCCCAGTTCTGTCAAAGTAACGCTGTTATCCCAGTAGAAACTGGAGGTAAGTATAAATATCCCAAATTGTACTCGTGCGGTTAGGCAAGCTAGAAAAACACACGGTGCTAGAGAGTGTGGGAGGCATCCCCAAACTAGTGACTACTTGTGCTTAGTCAGACTGGCAGACGCTCTCTCAGGAAGAGTGTCTTTGGCTGATTGATGGTAGCATTTTAGGAGATAAGTTTTCCAGATGGGGGAAAAAAAAAAAAAGAGTTGAGCCATGGGCTGTGGGGGAGACAAGTGAGACAGAAAACAAGCATGTGTTAAATATAGATGAAATCGATTCAGCCTTGGAGCAAATATGTGGCAGATTCCAAGCAGTATCTCTGCTGCAGT